TCTGGTTTTCTTTTCGTTATTTTGGACAAAATGTCGGTCCGCGATGTAAAAATTGAGCGAGGAACCTTTCTGGCATGGGGAGCTTTGCAGAAGGTGCAGTTTGGATTCTGCTTTTCCCAGGGTGGCAGCTCGGTCTTGGCCGGATGAATCTTCGCTGCTGGCCGTGGAAACGGCTGGAGCAGCTCGTTAGTTGATTTTTTAAATTCCTAAGTGTTGTATTTAAAGGCTTACGTGCACAGAGGAGGAATCGCCACCTTAAATAAGCATATGGGCGATTAACAGGGTATGTTTTCCTCTCGGGAAGGGAATTTGGTAGCTTTGACCAATGTCAGTGTGTAAATATTTAGACGTTATTAGTGACTTTTTAACATTTTTCAGCGAGATCTGTTATTTACAGTGTGTCATATGTTATTAATGCTCGTTGCCTAAGTTCCCTGGCAAATCTGTTTCTTGCCTTCTGAGAAAGTAGACAATTGATAGATTGTCTAAGGGATGGAAAAAAATGTGAGTGGGTTTTCTAACTTGAGTTCGGTAAATCCCTGAACGCTGGCGTTGTGAGACACATCACCTCCCCTGTAACCTTGCTGTACGATGAGATAAGTGTGAACACTTTTGAAGACTTTTCATTAAAATACGATTTTAGGTGAAGATTAAGGGAAGACACTGCTGTTGATTTATTTCTTACATTTACATTTCCTTTCATTCCCCCTCTTCTCTTTAAAAGTTTCCCAAGAAATAACTTCACCAAGATGTCCAGTGATCGGCAAAGGTCCGATGATGAGAGCCCCAGCACCAGCAGTGGTAGTTCAGATGCGGACCAGCGAGACCCAGCCGCTCCAGAGCCTGAAGAACAAGAAGAAAGAAAACCTTCTGCCACCCAGCAGAAGAAAAACACCAAACTCTCTAGCAAAACCACTGCTAAGTTATCCACTAGTGCTAAAAGGTAACGTGTAAAAAAAGGATTAAGCACGTTGTCAGGTTGTCTTCCAAATGGTTGGACACTTGTGTTGGTTTTACATCAGTAGCAATAGTTCAGAAGTGTTTCCTTCGTGATCAGTTTTATTTGGACTTGAATGAGTTGTCATTCTTTAGGTGGTACATAAGCCACCTCCAAACTTGTTCTGTACTTTGCTAACAACTTCAGTGCGAGTCTTTGCATGGAGATTCGACTAACGTCTGACAGGTTGTTTGAGGAGTTGGCAAGGAAAATTTGGTGAACCCAAATTAGCTGGTATATTGAGGATGTTTCCTTTTTATGAGTCATACTTTTCTTCATTGAAATCGACACTTCTAGAGATCAGCAGCAGTGCCTCTCTTCGTGAAACTTAATGATCAGAAATGGTCACGTTTGCTAGAAAATTTGTGAATTCAGGGCCTTGGCTATATGTGAAAGCAGACTTAAAAATTGTGCCCCTAATCCGTTTTCAGTTTTACAAACGTGATTGTGAAGTCCTGCATCCCACGTATTACTTTCTGTAGTTAAGCTAAGGTTCCACCTCTGTGTCCTTGTGAGGACAAATAAAACTGAAAATTTGCCATTTGCCTTTACATTTTAGGTGGTGCTAGGCAATTGTAAACTTTTTTGTCATTGTGCTAATGCACTCTAAAACTTGTGGATATGCTTGACACCTTAATACTCACAGCAGGAGAAACATATTTTGTTGGATATAAGTGAAAGATCATTTGTTTCCTGTTGATTTATATTATTTGTGGACAAAAAAAAGATCCTGTCGATGGGACTCCATCAGTGGTAGTAATAGCGGAGTATCTATGAATTCTAGTAGTTATGCGTGAGATGATTCTATAGCATTAGCCAATATCGATGTTTTGATTTTTATTGATCACAACTAAAAGAAAAAGAAAATATAAAAGCTGATCAGATATTGGCGTACTGTAGTGATTCTAAAGTACTCTTTTTTTCTATAGATTTTTCTCACTGCATTGTATCAGTAATCAAGTATTAATAACAAGAATATTTTGTGAAATTAAAGCAGTCTTTGAAATAACTTAAAAATCCTCAGTTTGTTGTAATCTTGTTGAGAAACATATTAAACACATCTTAAGTTTGAAAGCATTTTAAATTTGAATAAAATAAGAGAACTGCTTTTTTTCCCCTCCTCTTAACTCAAGGCTGTCATTGTCTCTTCTCCTCCTAAATTGTATCAAATTTAAATGCTGTACTTAAGGTTAGGGAAAACAAATACAGTTGAATAAGAATGCCAGAGTCCCTGGGAAGTTTTTCACTGGTAAAAATATTTGTAAATTTCAAACTTTTTTCTGACAGATAACATGTTGTCAAAAATTATTAATGTGCTCTCACAGCAGCCTGTTAATTCTTGCCTCGGTAAAAGTGACTTGAAGTCATTGTCAAATATTCTACTGCTTTCCCTCCTCCCTTCTTGTCTCATTTGCATATAAGCTTGTAAAGAGAATTTCTTTGGTAAAAAGTGTTTTAAAATACATTTTATATCCTTTGCTGAGTACTAGTGGAGGACTATTTCTCAAATCAGGTGTAATTGTCTTAATTATGTACAGTAGCAAGTGAGAAAAAAAGCTGCAAAGTTTCTGTGAAGGGATTTGGGTTATGCCTCTGAGAACAAAGAGGAAGCAGCCATGTTAGCATTACTGAAGGCGAAGCCAGCCTTGCATTTAACTGCATGGTGGTAGAGGGCAGTGTAATTCCCCGGTTATTCTGTAGACTCTCAAATCCTTTTTGTCTGTTCTCATTTCATTAACAGAATTCAGAAGGAGCTAGCTGAAATAACCCTTGATCCTCCTCCTAACTGCAGGTAAGAAACAAATTTTGTTGTTTTAATTTCAAACTGTGGAAAAATATCAGGAGATTCATGTGTCATCCTTGGATATGTGTGCTGCAGAAGAGGCTGCATTTGCTTCTCCAGCTTTGCAAGTGGATTAGGCAAAAATTGTCTACGGTGAATTAAATAAATTTGGGAGGAAAAAAATCTTTTTCGCGTGTATTACGTATTTTGGACTTACTGAATATATTGATTTTGTGCTTTTCGCTGGGATTAGTATGAATGGTGCTGATTTTTGTTCTGTTTTAATATTTCTGTAGAGGGTGTTTATTCAGAAGTATATTGCAGAAACTTCCAAAATTCTGCTAAGCTTTAAAGTTACTGCTTGTGTGCAGTCGAAACTGACCTTCCAAATTTAGAAATTGCGAATGTGGTGTTAGAAAATGTAAATGCAATAAACAAGAATGTGGTTGTTTCTGTTTGATTTATTCAGTAACTTGCCTTAAGGACAAATTTTATGTGTTAAGCTAATGGTGTTAGTGTTTTCTAGAGAATACATTGTTGGAATTGTTTACATTTTAATCAGGTAGCCTAATTACTTGGGAAAATTCTTAGTAATTTTGATACTTGAAATATGTGTATGAAAAGCAGTAAATGAATTGGAATTCATGGGAAGAAGTCATTTGAGTGAAACTCATGTACAGTATTACAAGATCTTTGGTTGGTATAAGGTGCATTAAAAGTAACTGGTTGATAATTTTTTCCCTGAAACATTTTTTTTTCAATTCATCTCACTTAGTGCTCAGTTTTTCAGCAGTGACTTTATGCCTTCCAAAATTCATCAAACTTAGAAAAAGTCTTATAGATAATTTGAATGGATGTATGTGCTCAAGAATGAGAGTGGCTGCTAGAAATAAGGTAGTGTTATGGTTTGGTACGAAATTTTTTTTTTGTCTTATATTTTTGCTGCAAGCTGTGTTCACTTGTGATGATCAGACCTATTTCTGAAGTCTATTTGAGATATAATTGGGTATAATCCAGTTGCTTCTTACTGTGTGTGTTAACCCAGTCCTCTGATAAGGTGATCTGATCCTGATTTATCCAGTAAATTAACAGTTTTGCTCACATTTGTTATCAGCCATTTCACTTCAAAAAGGAAACATGAATGTAAACAGATAGCAGTATGTCAGATCTCAAAGTATTACTGAAGAGCTGTGCTGTCCAGTCATGTAGCCACTGGCCACTTGTGGCTGTTGACCATTTCAGTTGTAGTCCAAAATGAGGTGTGCTCTAAGTGTATACATCAGAGTTTGAAAACTTAGTATGAATAAAAAAATGTAAAAATCTTACTATTTAAAAAAATATTTATTACATGTTGAAATCTTAGTATTTTTGATATACTGGGTTTAGAAAATGTTTTAAAATTAAAACCTTTTTTATGAGTTTAATGTGGTTATTAGACAATTTAAAATTACGTATGTGGCACACACTATTTCTATTAAACAGCACTTCTTTAGAGAATAAATAAAAGTATTTCCTTCTAGGCTTCTAAATGATATGTCAAATCTGTAGCTATTTAGGGAGGTCAAGTTAAATTTGCTCTCTGGAGAATTACTTGCAGAGTATATTCTGGTATTTCCCGCTTATGAAAGATGTAAAGATCTATCAGTTCAAGAGTCTTAAATGGTTTTAAATTACATGTAAACATTTTTAAAGGTTTTTGTTGATTTTCTGCATAGGGCACAAACTAGTGTACATGTATAAATGTAGCGCGCTCAGTAGACATGTGTTGAATGCCCTCAGAGCAGTAGTTTAGAGTTGCAGTTCCTGAAGAAATTTGCTTTTCGTGTTTAACCCAGGAATGTTTCCACAAGGTCACTGAGGATTACTTTAGAAGTAGGGTCTTTCTTGGGGATAGAAAGTTTGACTTTTTTTTATTTTGCTCTTTATGTACCAAATTTCTTTCCAGTCCATGCAATAATGCTTCACATTTAGTGGTTAGACTAGTGAAATAGTGAACCTTTGGGCTTGCTTGTGAACAGGAACTTGAAATACATCATCTGTGCTTTTCCTCATCACAATTTGTGGTGACTGTCAGCTATTGCAAATGACATCATTCAGTTCACTGGTTCTTGTTAATATATGAGTTTCTTTGTGACTGTGTGAGTGATTAAAGAAAAACAAACAGAAAATATGCATCTTAGTAGGGAACTAGAGAAGTTCTTTATTAGTTTGGGGACAGTTATCTTCCATATACCTGACATATAAATGATCCACATACTTTTGTGTGTTTTATTGTACGTGTCTTCAGATTCTTTTGGGTGGAAGATCTAGTCCTGGTCCTTGAGCAGGAATTTGGAATATTGAATGGGAGTCATTTGAGGATTTTGATGGCTAAGTCTGAATTTGTATTTTTACCCTCATGTAAGGTACATTATTGTGGTGTTCTTGTAATTCACTGGTGCATTGGTGAAAATTCTAGCTTTATAGTGATTGTACAGTTTAATTTTATTAATTTATGTTATAACTGAAAATGGGATTCTATATTAATAAATTCTAGAATATGTGGATTCATATTGCCCCAAATCTATGAAACCTAATTCTTTTGACTTTCATGTGTAGTTAATCAGAATTCCATTATGGTTTTGAATATGATTTTTACAAGCTTGTCAAAGTATGTGACACATTTAATTCTTCCTTGGGGAAGAAATGTAAAGTATATCTGTTTACATTCAGGAAAAAGTTGAATGAAATACAGGAAAACTCAACGAACCCAAAGTAACTCGGACTTGATTAAGATTTTTTCTTAACTCCCTTCCTATGTTTAATGAATAAAATAGTCTAGTTATTATATAGCTGTGTCTAAAGTATCTACACCCAGGGTGATCATAGGATAGTCTTAATTGTTAAATTAAATATATGGCTTTAAATATGTTTGAATATATTTTGATAGTATTGGTATTTCTTTTTCTGATGGTATAACAGTTTGATGAAATGTTATTTCCAATTATTTGATGGCATATCAGTTTTAGGTATTGGAGTGCCTTAGACCAAAGCATTTAAAACATAGAGATATAACGTTCAGTGACTTCAGTTTGTACTCCTTACTGTATTCTAAATTAGGGTGTAAACAGTTGTTACACCAATGAAAATGAAGGGAAATTGCATTATGGACATTTCCTGATCAGTTTTTAGAGAAAGTTATTTATTTACTAGAATTGATGAGTGATTTGCATTTAAGACATTTATTTACTTATTTCTTTATTGAAGTATAGTCAGTTTACAATGTTGTGTTAATTTCTGGTGTACAGCATAATAGTTCAGTTATATATATATGTATGTACGTATTCGTTTTCATATTCTTTTTCATTATAGGTTACTACAAGATACTGAATATAGTTCCCTATGCTATACAGTATAACCTGGTTTATTTTATTTATGGTAGTTAGTGTCTGCAAATCTCTGACTCCCAATTTCTCCCTTCCCATCAACAACCCCCCACACACACCCCTCCAGTAATCAAGTTTGTTTTCTGTGTCTGTGAGTTTGTTTCTGTTTTGTAAGTAAGTTCACTTATCTTTTTTTTTAGATTTCACATGTGAGTGATGTGGTATTTTTCTTTCTCTTTCTGACTTCACTTAGAATGACAATTTCCAGGTCCATCCATGTTGCTGCAAATGGCCTTATTTTATTATTTTTTATGGCTGAGAAGCATTCCGTTGTATATAAATATACCACACTTCTTTATCCAGTCATCTGTCCATGGACATTTAGGTTGCTTCCATGTCTTGGCTATTATAAATAGTGTTGCTGTGAACATTGGGGTGCATGTATCTTTTTGAATTTAAATTCCCTCTGGATGTATTCCTGGATCCTATAGTAAGTCTATTTTTAGTCTTTTGAGGAATCTCCATACTGTTTTCCATAACAGCTGCACCAAACTACATTCCCACCAACAGTGTAGGAGGGTTCCTTTTTCTCCACACCCTCTCCAGCACTTATTGTTTGTGGACTTTTGAATGATGGCCATTCTGACTGGTGTGAGTTGATACTTCATTGTAGTTTTGATTTGCATTTCTTTGATAATTAGCGATATTGAGCATTTTTTCATGTGCCTATTGGCCATTGTATGTCTCCATTGGAGAATTGCTTGTTTAGGTCTTCTGCCCATTTTTGGATTGGTTTTATTTTTTTTCAATTATTAAGTTGTATGAGCTGTTTATATATTCTAGAAATTAAGCCCTTGTCAGTCTCATCTTTTGCAAATATTTTCTTCCATTCTGTAGGTTGTCGTTTTGTTTTACTTTTGGTTTCTTTTGCTGTGCAAAAGCTTATAAGTTTAACTAGGTCCCATTTGTTTGTTTTTGCTTTTATTTCTATCGCCTGGGTAGACTATCCTAAGAGAACATTTCTAAGATTTGTATCAGATAATGTTTTACCTGTGTTTTCTTCTGAGAGGTTTATAGTGTCTTAACGTTTAAGTCTTTAAGCCATCGAGTTTATTTTGGGTATGGTGTGCGAGAGTATTCTAACTTCATTGACTTATATGCAGCTGTCCAGTTTCCCAACACCATTTGCTGATGAGACTGTCTTTACTCCATTGTATATTCTTGCTTCCTTTGTCAAAGATTAACTGACCAAAAGTCTGTAGATTTATTTCTGGGCTCTCGATTCTGTTCCATGGATCCATATGTCTGTTTTTGTGCCAGTGCCATGCTGTTTTGATTACTGCAGCTCAGTAGTATTGTCTGAAGTCTGGGAGGGTTATTACTCCAGCTTCATTCTTTTTCTTCAGTATTGTTTTAGCAACTCTGGGTCTTCTGTGATTCCATATAAATTTTAGGATTGTTTGTTCTAGTTCTGTGAAAAATGTCCTGGGTAATTTGATAGGGATCGTACTAAGTCTGTAGATTGTTTTGGGTAGTATGGCCATTTTACCAATATTAATTCCTCCAATCCAAGAACATTGGATAGCTTTCCATTTCTTGAAGTCATCTTTAATTTCCTTAGTCATTGTTTTCTAGTTCTCCACA